TATACAACAAACACGTCCCACGGCGCCGTTTCAACCTGTAGTCCTGGAATGACATAAAACAGTTCAGTCGAGTGTACACATCCACCAGCTGCGCTCACTTCTCTCCTCTCCTCCCCTGTTTACAAGTTTACAAGGTGCTGGTCACCTCTTCAAGTTCCTAACATTGCCAACTCTTTCAACACATGATCATCAGCAAGACCGTACTTCTAACATGGCTTTTCGCCGCATTCATCGTTTCGGCTTCTCCCCTTCTCTACCTGGCACCTAGAGGAAACTGGCTCGAGGCAGGGGACGCTCCTGCCCTGTTGGGTAACTTGACCCGCGCCGTATATACCCTTCGTGACCGCTGATCACATCACAGGTAGAGCTCCCCCTGCCTCGGGACATCCCAAGTCCTCAATGCATGCTTCTGTCTCTTCTACCCCTCTTCCGGCTTATTCGAAGAAAGACCCAAACCCTGGAAACACCCCAGAGAAGAAGAGCACATCCTCAGTGCATGATGATACCGCTTATTCGAAGAAAGGCCCAAACCCTGGAAACACCCCAGAGAAGAGCAGGGGTCTAATTCGTGATTTGTATGTGCTCAGCCTACCTATAGGACGATCACGAATCTTGATCCTTCTTTCACAGCTTCCACAAAACGTTTGGGAAGAAATCGGGACAACCCACATCCCCAGTGCATGAGGATACCGATTATCTTCCGGCTTATTCGAAGGAAGACCCAGACCCGTCTCCTCCGTACCCAGGGAAGAAGAGCAAGGGTATAATTCGTGATTTGTATGTGCTCAGCCTACCTATAGGACGATCACGAATCTTGATCCTTCTCTGTCAGCTTCCACAAAACGTTTGGGGAGAAAGCATCGGATCGTCCTTGGTACACGACACATCTTAAACAACTCGCTAAACAGCATGCGGAAGACGGGAATCATAAGCTTGCCGCAGATGCGCACCGGGCCTTGGGAGACTTGCATGCGAAGAGTGCTCAGGACTATCACGAACAAGGGGATCTGGAAGCGGCGGCTCAGCTGCGTGAGGCAAGTAAGAAGTCGCTACAGAAAGCCGAGAATGCCGACCTCGAGGCCAAGCGGAATCCCGCACAACAACCGATCTCCAAGAAGGCCGAGGAGCTGCAGAACCAAGTAACGTTGGGACATTCCTTGGAGGCTGTGGTGGAGCACCAGATCAAACGACCTGACTATCGCGGTACCACGTTGGACGAAGCTTACTTCAAAAAGAACTTTGGGAAACTTTCTGCCGCGTATCATCATGTATGATCTGTACCTTTACCGGTGATATGAATACAGCATTCGAGGACCGTTGTGTTTATGCTCCTGCGACCTTTTCTCTGCCTGATTCTATGGCTCAATGCACAGCCGTGGAGGGGTGCGGTGCTGTACTAATTTACGCGTATCCGGCGTCGAGGACTCATGTATTCTGAGAAATAAATGCGACGGGACACAGCCGAGCACTCGTATTGCGGGAAATGAATGTCACTGGCATTGTCTCCATTACCCTTACAACGATACATCTAGGAGGTTAACTTTCAGGAACGAGGATGACCCAGTCGCCTTCCTCTGAATTCCACCGCTCTAGCATCTCTTCCCCCATCAACGGGAACACCACCCACACCTCTTCCCTCTGTCCCCTCCCAGCTCGGGAGCACGCATACATTCCCACCTTCGCCTTCATAGGCATATGCAGTGCTTTCAGCGCCTTCAGCCGTACAGAACGGAGGGACATCGACGGTAACAGCTTGGCTTTCGCTGTTCTCCCCTGGGGAGGCAATGTTGCACCCGTCGGGGGATGGGGTAGACAGCCCAAGTTGAGAGAAACAGTCCGCCCCGCCAGGGAGCTCTTCGCATCGCCGCCTGGCAGTCCATGTTTCTGGCACAGTTCCGCCCACCTCGAATGTTCGGCGCACCTCTCTTCCTCCCTCTTCCCCGGCTCGGAACGTACAACCCAAGCCAAGTAAAACCTCTCCGAGTCTGTACGCTCGCTTGGTGTGAGAGGAGTACCGTCAAGCTGGGTAAGACTTGGGAGTTGCGCGATGACGAGTGGCCGGTACGGCCCTTGAGCGAGGGAGGTTGAGGTGAGCCGGAGAGATGGGAGATGCGGGAGGGAGAGGGCGAGGGTGGGGAGGGACGGCCAGAGGAGGGGGTTCGAAGCTAGGGAGAGGTACTTTAGCGAGGGGGGGGCAGGTGGTGTGGGAGTAGGAGGATGGGGGATGGATGAGATGTTGTTCGACGCCAGGAGGAGTTTCTCTAACTTTAGAAGAGAGGACAAGGCCAACAGGATGGCGGGGAAGTCGGACAGCCCATTTCCTTCTAGGTTTAGCTCTGCGAGGCTCTGGAATGTCGGTAGCTGGGGAAGGGAGAGGGAAGTAAGGCGGTTATGCCCAAACTGGAGGTGTTGGAGGTTAGAGAACACAGGGCTCAGAAGCAGCAGTTCCTTCCATGTCATCAGAGTGGAGTTGAGCTGCAGAGAGCGTACATTTGGCCGTACGTGCTTGGGAGAGCAGGTGAGCAGAAGAAAGCGGTTTTGACTGTTTAGAGTTAGCAGAGTTGAAATTGGGGGAGAGGACCGTACTTGAGTGCCAGGGATTCTAGACGGTCTAGTTGGTCCAGGATGAACAATACCACCTCCCAGTTTGGAAACAGGTTGCGTGACACGTCCAAGCTCATAATGTCTCCCTCATTAGCGTCACCCATAGCAAGAGTAACCGCGGATGGGCTTACTAGGACATCTCTCCCTCAGTTCTTGCGCTCCTCCGGGGTGGGAGACGCCCTCCCCGTCGAGGCTCACTTCCCTGAGCCTGTCGAGTTGAGCTAGGCGTTGGCGAACTTTGCCAATGTTGGGCGCTTGGACGGTTATTAGCCCGAGGGAAGAGCCGAGCAAGACGGTCTCTTCCTTCTCCTCATGCTCGTTTCCAGTCTCTGGAGCGGTGGATGTAGATGGGTCGGCGTACTTCTTTACCAGGGCGGAAATAAAGGATTCTCCGTAATGGATCCCCGACCCAGGTCGTATGAATGACCCCGCTCCCTCTACACTGCTCGTGATCAGACTTAGAAAGCGAAGGAAAAGCGAGAAGAGCACACCGGCAAGTGAAGTACTGCACACCCTTGTGAAGCCCGTCATGTTTTCCCCGGGAGGGGTCATCCCATTCTACACCTATCCATTCACCGGACGTTCCAGCTACAGGGCCGGTGTATGCCACTGTCCCGAGATGGGAGGACAGGGAGAGACGGGTGCCGATGGCTGGGAGTGACATGTAGTTAGGAAACGGTGGAAAGCTTGAGAATCGTTAGAATGCAGGCATGGGCATATGGATGAGCCGTCAATGGCAGATATATGCAGATGGAAGTGCGGTGTCGTCGCTGGCAGCGTACAGTAAGTGTCAGTCCACACAGTGCTGGTTAGGGTTGTTAGGGAATCAAGTTCCCCTTCATCGTCGCTCACCAGCACTCGCCCCACACCGACCGGCGATGCTCCCTCTCCTACGGTCAATGTCCCGCCCAACAATCCCCGCAGCAGCAGCAGCACGAACAAGGCTGCAGGCAGTTCAGCGCGCACTAGCGAGCACTTCTGCGCCTCCGCAAGGCAAGATGGCCGCTGCGATGACCCCGAGCAAGTTTGACGCTTTGCAGGAAGTGGTGCGTCCTCATTTTCCTCTCCTCTCCCTCTCCCACTTCCCATTCCTTCCATAGACGAAGCTGATTACATGCACAGCCGGTACTGTTCGAAGAACACCAGTTTACACGCACGTATGTTATGAACCGCCCAAAGGCGCTCAATGCGCTCAATGAGGAGATGATAGACCTCATGCGGCCGAAGCTAGATGTATGCGCATAATTTTCATCTTCCCCACACGAAAAGCTCACTGACAATGAGGAAATAGCTATGGAACTATACCCCGGGATGCAAGATTATCATTGGGACTGGGAAGGGAAGAGCATTCTGTGCAGGGGGGGATGTACGAGGTCAGCTAACGTCCCACGTACTGGTTCAGATCATTTACAACGCCATTCTACAGCGGTCGTCAAACATGCCAGCGAGGGGGACGCGAGCACCCGCGCCAAGGCAGCCGAGTATTTCAGAAAAGAGTTTGAGCTTGATTATCTGCTTGCCAACCTCCGAAAGCCCTATGTCGCCGTCCTCGATGGGATCACTAGTGCGTGTATTCGTTCTCCCCTCCCAAGACAGAGCTGACAGTAGCGGGATGATCGTAGTGGGTGGCGGGCTCGGACTCTCCGTCCACGCACCATTTCGTGTCGCCACGGAGAACGCGCAGTTCGCCATGCCAGAAACTAAGATCGGGTATGCCCCGGACGTAGGGGCGACGTACTTCCTCCCAAAGCTCGATGGGTGCATTGGGGCTTATCTTGCACTTACAGGGAATACGATCAAGGGCCGGGAGGTGTAGTGCGTTGTCTATGTCTTCTAGTGTGGACGAGAACTCATGCGAGGTAGTGAGCTGGGGCTGGCGACACATTTCGTCCCTTCGGAGCGGATCCCCAAGCTGTTGGAAAGGCTCGCGCAGCTCAACCCGCCCGATTTTGACGCTGTCAATGCCGCTATAGAAGAGTACGCCGCGGATGACTACTCCGCTCTCTCGACCGACTTGGTAGGTGAGAAGCGCCGGATGCTGGACAAAGTCTTCGGGCAAGAGACAGTGGAACTTATCGTCGAAGAACTCCGGGGATTGAGGAAGCGCGAGGACTCGATAGCCGCGTGGGCAGTGACGACGCTCGAGGAGCTCGAGCTGAGGAGCCCGACGGCGCTCAAGGTGGCCCTCGAGGCGTATCGTGCTGGAAAGGGAGGTTTGACGCTGAGAGAAGCGCTGCTCGTTGAACTGCGGTTTGCCACCGCTTTCTGCGTGCGTCTTTCATACGTGAGGAAATAGGGAACTTGGCTCATATGTTGTTACAGAATGGCGCAAGCCCCGACTTCATCACTGGTGTCAAAGCCGTCCTTGAGGACAAGATCAAAGGCCGCCCCACATGGGAACCATCAACACTCAAAGAGGTCACCGCTGACGACATCTGGACGCGCTTTTTCTCCCCCACATCCCCCTTCACAAAAACGATGCCCAAAATGGACCTTGATTTCGTTGAGCCCCTCAACCCGCCGAGGGACGTGATGCACTTTGCCCTACCCTCGGAGAAGGAGATTGGGCGCGTTATTAGAGGGGAGGAGAAGGACAGCGGGGCGTTTGCCGTCACGGCCGAGGATGTGGTCAGGTGGTTTGCGGATAAGAGCCCTGGAAAACCGGGTGTTGCGGCGAAGGTTAGGGAAGTGCTGGAGAGAAAGGCGAGAACAAAGAAAGACGGATACTTGCAGTGGATCCATTGAGTAATGTATCACCGACGAGTGGCAATGAATTTGTTACCATCATGCAATCTGGTATCCCCAAGCAGTATGTGCTGATCGCTCTGTGCTTGGTGCGCGAACATCATTGTTTGTGCGTCTCCGGAGATGAAACGGATACAGTACAACGACCGCCTCGTTAGGCCATGGACGGAGATGGAAGTGGCGAGTCTAATACTCTTTTCTAAGCGCGCTTTGATTATCGCGAGCTGATTATTGGCGGCTCTCACGAGCAGAATCGATGAACAACACCCCCATGCTCAATGAGGACCAACACCAGTTCCATTTGGTATCAACCTTACTGTTGTTTTCTCTGGCAACAACGCCGCGTGACATTCCAGGGTACTTCACTTTTTCTGGAGTTGGACAGCTCCGATCACCACCGACAGATGTCAACGTCTATTGCTTCTGCCCCCTGTTTCGCTGTGAAACCTTGAAATAGCCATCGAGCAGAGCAAGTGATTGGCGGTGTATCTGATACGTGGAATTTCCGATTGGTTGAATTTCGCTCCAATCGAATATGCGAGAGCCTGGGGAAGCACAGCTTGACCAATAGCAATGGTCGAGTTTGACGTTGGTGGGTGACAAATAATAAATACCGCGGCATTTCCTTCGCCTTGGATATGAGAAGCGTTCCTCGGATCACATATCCCAGCGAGACCACCGGAGGCCGGTCCTAGGCCGCCTGGCTACTCCCCAAATTGGAGGATCTGACGACATGGGCCGCCTCGGTTCGTCTTATCCCTTGTGACGAAGCCGCAAGAAAGGTCATCAAGCAGAGAAGAACGTGGTGCATCGGCATTCCTGACTGTTTGGTGCAGACAAAGCGGGTGATTGGCAGAGTTGAGATCCTATCTGACAAGACGAAATGATCGCGACGCGAAGAACGTTCGAGGGAGGGCCGGCATGCGGCATTTTCCCGCAGTCAATCGAGGTCTTGCCTGAAACGATCGCTTTCCAGACTCGGATCTTCCAGGTTGCCAATCGTCATCTCATCTGCCGGACGATCGGCAGTGTAGCACTGCAGAGGTTAAATAGCGGCCCGTCTTGCTCCCGTTCTCCCTTCACAACTCAGTTCCCTACACCCTTTAGCACCAGAGCTTCCTCTAGACCAACCGCTAAGTCTTGCCAACACACACCTTTCGCACCTGACAACCATGTACGACGCCCCCACTGGCGGTATTTCTCCTGAACCTCCCGCAATGCGGATGTTCCACTTCCCGAAGGTGGACGCTATCGCGGACAGTGGAGAGGAGTTCCGTCGCGTTCTTTGGACTGGCGAGAACTCCCAGTTTGTGATTATGACGATCCCGGTTAATGGTGAAATCGGCGAGGAAGTGCGTTAATGGATTCAGAGAACCTGATGACGTCAAGTCCAACAATGTTGACAGATCCATGACGTTGATCAGCACCTTTGCCTGACCAGTGGAGTTTGCAAGGCTGTTGTTGAAGGCGAGGTCCAGACGATCAGGGCTGGAGATCTCGTCATCGTCCCGGCCGGCGCCAAGCGTGAGTGCTTGTCTCCCATCAGTCCGAAGATTTCCTAAATTTCCTGGAAGACAACTTCATCAATATTGGCGACAAGCCCTTCCAACTTTACACGTTCTACGCACCTGCTGAGCACAACTGGAAGACGGTGCACAAGACGCGCGAAGAGGGCGAACACGACGAGGCTGTTGGTCTCGACGAGCCTCCCGCATGGGCCCTCAAGGGACTTATCCAAAAGAAGAAAGCCGCTCTATGATTGGGAGTGATGGACGAGGGGATTTAGCTGACGTTTCTATGACACCGTGACACACCTGTATATTGACACACCGGTTACTTGCTTTGACCGCGAAAAAAATGCGTAGCATATGACGAATGCGCTCTGTAGCTTCACTCTTCAGCGACTTGTACAATGGGTATATCGAGGATTTCGTCGGCCTCATACAAGCTTTGGTCCCGTGGATCATCATTACGAAGCGACATAACATGATACACCCCGTACCTACTGCGAACCACACTCTTTCCCAGAGCACCAGAGCGTTCCTTCACCTTCGGATACCGATCTGGCTATCAGATAGCGCTCTCCAACCGCGATGCGCCGCTTGCAATGCCGACGAAGTCCATGAGGGTGGAGGGGGCTGCGGATGGGGCGAGCACGGAGATAACACCGTTGGATTGGGTCATAGTAGGGGTGGGAGTAAGGCACGAGGTAGCTTCGTCGAACTTCCAACCCACGGCGGTGAAAGCTGGATTCTTCATCAGAAGCAAGGACGAGGACTGACGGAACGCACTTGCCCTTTACTGCGTCCGGGTGGGCTTTGCCGAGGTATACGGCAGCGTCCGCCATACTTAGGGAGGCATATGCTTGACCAAGGACAATTATTAGATGCGTTTGATAGGTGCCTGGGACGTGCTTTAGATCAAGCCGCGGCATAATGGATGTATTGTATTGACTCACGAATGAACTCTTCTACAAGGGGTCTAATTGCCAAGTCAAGCTCGTCTTCGCCCTGTAATGATCCGGTGGTGACAGAAATGAGATTCCGCGCATCCAATGGGATTTGTGCGTAGTTTCGGCTCGCAATGGCTGATAGTAGCCTACACTCATGTTAATCAGCAAGGGCTGGCATGCAAGGCGCATATATGCATACTCTCCTAATGCTCTGATCGGCCCAAATGTATGCAGCACTTTTGGCAGTCTTTCAAGCGCCCAGTATGCAGATGGGAGGTCGTTGAGGAATAGATAAGAAAGCACGAGGGGTATTGTGATCAACACACGCGTGGGGCGTTCCTTCATGGTCGGATACTGCGCCAGTCAGCGTTGACGGAAACATGCAACGAGAAGCACTCACCGAAATTTCAGTCTCCTCAGCAAGTCTCACAACATCCTGGTATCCTCTTCTCCTGTAGGCCTGTACGAGATCCGGGAACACCTGCCTGTACGGACTGGGACGTTTTTGGTCGCCTCCGATGGCAGCGAGCGCCGCGGCAGGCGCGGTTGACGTACTTGCCACGGAGACTTCTTCCGGTACCGGTGGGACCGGGTTAGGCATGGCAGGTAACTCGTCAATAGGCATCGGCGGCGTTGGGGGAAGAGTTGGCCCTGGTGCAGACATGATGGTTCGCGGTGGTCAGAGTCAGAGATGATTTTGGTGCTCACGCGATGATCACAGGTCAACGCGTTCTTTCAGCGGCCAAGGGTTCATCGTGGCGCGTCACGTGCTCTACCTGCCTACAGGAATGTGGCATTGCGTCTTTACAGACGCCAACAAGCACTGCTTCCAACATCTCTTTGACATCTACAGGACTGATAACTATACACAATGGACGATATCATTGAGAGCATTCTATTCATTGCCAGGAACGTCAATGTCTTCAAGATTCCTCCGCGGGCGTCCAATGAGGGTTATCGCGCCGCCGACTGGGTCGTCGAGAAGCCGCTGTGGAACGGCAGACTCAAGGTCATAGAGCGCGGCGAACAGTGCATCATCATATTAGAGGACCCAAACACTGGTATGTGTTGTATATAAAATAGTGATATAGTAATGATCGTTCCTATAGGCGAGCTCTTCGCGCAAGCGCCATACGACAAGACAGGCGCCGCTGTTGAAGCGGTGCTTGATTCAAGCCGATATTTCGTCTTTCGTGTGGAAGGCGAGGGTGGAAGGAAGGCTTACATTGGGGTTGGATTTGAGGAACGCACTGAGAGCTTTGACTTCAGTCAGTCCGCTCTGCGGCTTGTAGAACGATGTGGCTAATGCTCTGATAGATGTGGCCTTGCAGGATTATGTCAAGCGCGCGAAGGCAGCGACGGACCCGACATCCACTATTGTCGCAGCCGTGCATGAGCCGCCTCCCGACTTTTCGCTGAAAGAGGGTCAGACGATGACGATCAAGATCCCTGGGAAAGATGGCAGGAAGACCGCCGGCACTTCTGCTTCGACTAGCGGGGGCATCGGAGGTGGGTTCGGCCTGCTGCCACCCCCGCCGGCGAGTGGAGGAATCCGCAGGCAAAAGTAACGCAGCGATCACACTGTATTATATCTCTCGCACGATGATGAATACCCCGCTTGTGTCCAAGAACAATCACAATGTTTGTCTGTCGTAAACCCTATCACGTCTAGCAGGATCCAGCCTACTAAATGTGCTTCTCAATGTGCTGCGCAACACCCTCAACCACATCCCATGTCTTGTAAGCCCCGATATGACCTTGCCCTTTGCGTGCCCTGGCAAGAACACGCTCCATCGCGTCCAGACCAAGATCGAGCTGATCCAGAGGTGGACCAAACGAAAGCCGAACAAAATGATGGCATGGCGATGCAAATAGATCACGGCGATTTGCAGCTTGGAAAACCATCAGTATGACGTGTCTGGCGTGGACGTGCATGAGGACTTACGATTGATGTCGAAAAAGTAACCAGGAACCACGATTGTCTTCTCTTTCAGAAGTTCTTCGAAGAAGGTCTGCATACATCTCAGTTGAAGAGTTCACGCCGATGGTACCTCGCGTACCAAACCGTTGTTCAATTCACCGGGAAGATCCGACAGATCCAGCCAAATATAGAACGTCGCCACAGGCGGCACCTTCACCTTCAGGTCCATTGTGTTCAGCCTTGCCAGAACGTGATCGCGTTTCATCTTGAAGTGCTTCTGCAAAGCGATCTTATCTTGTTGAGCGACCTCAGGTCGGAGAAGGGGAATTGCAGCGAGCTGAAGACTGTGAAACAGATCAGAATGGGCCAGTAATGGTCAGAGGCATGGGATGTCTGACGGGTGATTAGCGCCTCCGTCCAGGAAAGAGCCGGATTGGGAAAGCGCCGAGATCATATTCTTGGGACCAATAACCCAGCAGACCCTCCATCCCGGCAGCCGCCAGTTCTTCGTCAGTCCATCGATAATGACAACGGAATCCTGATAAGACGTGAGCACCGTGTTCCGACGCTGTGCGTGCTGACTGACCTCATTAACGTCCTTCACATATGCGGCGGCCGATACAGATTGACCCAATTCTTCCTCCTTCTCTGGATAGATATACCTGTGAAAGTTGGTAAGATGTCACAACAGGGCGCTTCATATACTGACCAGGAGTAGAACTACAGGAACAATTAGCACGGCCTTTCCCGCATAGACTCGAATCTCACCTCGTCCAAAACAACAGTAACCTTGCTCTCAGCCAGCTCCACCAGTTGCTTCAAATCATCTTCTCTACGTGTATATAAGGATGGTATTCCGCGAAATGGTTCTGTTCATACCGAATCACTTGTCCAGTAGGATTTCGAGGATTGGATGCTATGATGACCTGCAGGCCTTGCTCGTGGACGTCTTTCTTTGTCTTTTCCAAGTCGAGCTTGTATTCCATATCTGCGGTTAACGCAGTAGGGATCTGACGATATCGAGGCCGTATTTAGCGCATCGTACCACTTTGAGGGGGGGGGAAACTGACGGGAAGGAGACGCTTAAATGCGGCAAGCGTTGATGAATAGCTGGTATACTCCGGGATTTGGTACCTTCAGGACAGGCAGGATTAGTGTCACAGTACGATCTTGGCTCTAGAATCCTTGCCCGCAATACCTGACGAGGGGTGAGCAGTGTCGAAGTCTGAGACCGAACTTACACATCTCCTATCACACTCGCAACTCTGCTCAATCCTGCACGTCCACCAGGGACAATACAGACATTCTCATAGTTATAGAGGCTCTTCATTCCTTGGCGGTATGTATGGTTGTACAAATCTGCAACGGCCTGTCGTAGCGCTTTGACACCCGTGGTGGGGGCGTACTCCAACGAGTCGTGAGGAATGGGGATCTGCGTGGGTTTCGGTAGGGCACCGGGAATATCGCCCACTTCTGGAGCTCCCTGCCCTAGATTGGCCCATCCGTCAGCATCGTAAGAGAAGCCATTCGCCATCGCACTATAATGAGAGGATAAGACGCATGTATGTGAGCATACCAGGAAGAGATGCCCCACGCACCGATCTGTACAATAGATCACACCTGTACTTCCAGGGTGCTGAATGCCTGGCACTGTTTCTTCCGCAATATTTGTGGTAGCAGGAGCACGTCCTTTCGCAGTGTGACCAGGATAGGAGCGATAAATCTGCATCATAGTGAGAGATGAGAGGAGCACTAACAGACAAAGCACCAGACCCACCTTATGAGCCTCCGAGTCGTCTTCGGACTTGTTCATCACCTTGTACACGACATCTGTCAGATGCCAGTGGTGCTTCGACACTCCAGGAAGCGTAGACTGTTCTGTAGCCATTATCGCAGATAGAACGCTCGTTTATTGGGAAGGAGGAAAGGATGAGACGTTGAAGGAGCAATATTAATGCCCATGGCCGCCATGTATACACCGCCGTTGAGGGACCAACCTGACACGCTCAGGCTCGTGACGTCAATCTAAAGTTAGCCTGCACGTGCCCATGAGCCAATGTCTTGCATTCCCTTTCCTTTCTTCTTAAACCAAGTTCCTCGTAACCGGATCAGCCTCGGAAAGACGGACAACAATGGTGACTCATCACGTATCGCATTTTCTTTCAGAACAAACTAGTTGCGCGGATTATCCCCTGTACTTCGGCATGACCCACTTGGAGACGCGCAGAACGACCGCCACAGACCACTCGCCACACACGCGTTTCTGGCCTTGTGTGCCGCTCTGTGGCCTGCAAATTCCCGCCGTCGATGCCCCGGTGGTGTATAAAAGCGCGGTTCATTTGTTGCCTGTTGTTTTCCCATCCCTTGAACTCGTACGAACAAGATGGGTCGTCGTCAACCCAGAACACGCGCGCGCAAGACAACGGCTGGCGATCCAACGATCAACACCCCAATCACAGCCATGCCAAACTCCATTCCCTACTGGGAAGTTTTCGATGCCCCGGATGCAGTGATCAAATGTCGAGCATTCGATCATCCCTATCATGCACAGGAGAACTGCATTGCTTGCCTCAAGCAGCACTTGGCATATGAAGTCTTCTTTGGTATGCTGATGTCTTACTATATGGCCCGGGTCGAGCTAACAGACGTACAGGCGGTTGCACAGCGAAACCTTCATGCGGATGTCCAACGCCAATCGAGTTGCGGCCATGAAGAATCGAGAGCCTTCCTGCAACCAAGCAGCTCTCCAATATTGTGCGAATGCGTTGGATCGCGACCCGCGCAGCGGGCTCCTTGCCTGTGCCGTGGGTACATATCGTGCTGAATTGGCGACGAATGTTCGTCATTTAAACGACGCGATTGATTGCCTTATGACTGCCCTGGAACTCGACTGCTCCCTCCTCGTCGCTCATTACAATCTTGCAGCTCTCTTCGACCTTTTCGCGACGCGTTCTCCCTCGGGATATATTCCGGACAGGACCGAAACTCTCCAGCATGCTTGTGCTAGATATCGCACAGTGCTAAAGTGGATTTCTAGGGATGGACAAGGCGCTATGAGCTATACCTCCATCCAGAAGCGATTGTCTGCACTTGAAACGTACGAAATCGGATCTCCCATTGATGCACCCCAGCTCGTCTCAGTTTCTGATCCCGCGTTCCAGAAATGCCTGGAGGGTTATCAAGGAAAAAATAACAAGAAACTGGTACCAGAGCGGTTTGACCAGGACGATCCCCTGGTGAGCCTCTGTATCCACGAGGCCATCAGAGAACATGGAGCGAGGAAAAAGGCAGCATTCAAGGCTCGCAAGAGAATTGGTAGAAGGTTCACGAAGTTGCTACGATTTCTGCAGCGGGATGGCCCCTCTGTGGGTTCTACAGGAGATATCAGGGGAAGCTTGCTGGCGCATTTTCAAGCAATTCTTGAGCGGGAAGGGAGCATACCCAAGGAGATGATCAAGGTCTTGCACTTCCTCGGCGAAAATGAAGGCACACTTCGGACATTCCCGTCGTTTGCAAAGGAAAAGGAGAAGAAGAGCTGGGCTTTGGCAAATGCTGACCAACGCTTAGACCTACTGGGTGGCTGTAGCCTCTGGCCGGGGGAAGACTGTGATGAGGGGATGCGCTCGAGTCTGAGATTCCTCGATGTGATGTATGATGTGTAACTGTGGTCTTGGAATGATTCATTATGTCTTTTTCTGAATTGGTGCAGTCGGCATTGAACCCCTATCCCGGAGAGTGTTCTAGAAACTCCTATTTGCAAGCTCTGGACTCTCAATATCATGGTCTTCAGAGCACGCGTCGGAGACTTATAAAGCTTCTCGGAATTACATAGACGAGTCTTCCTCGCGCGTCTAACTATTCGTCCACCACTTGCCCTCCCATATACTGACAGCCATGGAACAGGAATACCTCACACCAAACGCGGTGTCTCACCTCATTTCTGCAGTTTCTTTGGAGAGGTATTCCGCGGTTATGCAAGTACTCAACATCAAACGAGTTGCTGAGACAAGAAACGGAGAACCTGAACGCTGGCGGTGCATATATTTTGGTTTGTCTGACTCAGGTGTATGCTCAATAGTGTTCGCGCAGCGTGATGTTGAGCGATGGGCAGCGGTTCACTCAAGCAATGTTGGCTTCTCAAAACAATCACTTCGCTATCGATGGTTATTTGACAAAGAATTGTATCATAAAAGCCACCCGCTTCAGCCGGAGCAAAGTGCAGGACAAGACGTAGGCTTCTACAGATCAACTCATATGCATTTACTCACTATCAAACTTACAGTATCATCATTATCCTGGCGATGGACGTGGTGAAACAGGAGAAAGAGAGACTCGGAATGCCACAATCCATCCTTGATGAAGGACCGACCTTTGCTCAGCCCGCAACCCCAACGTCTACGAAAACATCAACCATTAACAAGATCTCAGCTGGGGCCGCTACGAAAAGTTTCACCAAAGCGTCCGGATTGAAGGGCGAGCCCACCATTACTCCCATCAACCAGCTTTCGCCCTACCGAAATCAGTGCGTTTATGTCTACCAAGCTGTTCGTTCCTGTGTCGGTGACGCTGCCCCAGGTGGACCGTCAAAGCACGAATCACGAAGAAGTCTGACGTACGAAAATGGTCAAATGAGAGGGGAAGCGGGTATTTGTTCAACTGCACCATGACGGATGAAACGGTAATGATTTTCGCCGGCTTTGTCTTCCACTTGCTCATGGGATTATTAAGGGATCCATCAAGGCAACGGCCTTCATGGAGCAGTGCGACAGATTGCTGAAGGAAATTGAAGAAGGAAAGGTGAGCTGCACCAGATTCCACATGTCATATCTAAGGTCTCACATTAGAGTAGGTATACTATATTTCCAAAGGAAAAATTCTTCCTGCCAAGAAGATATACAATACCACAGGCTGTGATTATGAGATCACGTTCAACGAAAGCACCAATGTTGAACTAGTGAGCACAACACAGCACGCTTAGGCCGGGGAAGAAGTTTATCCAGTTCCAGTGCAACGATGACTCCAATATGCCTGGGGGGTTCTCATATACCGTCTTGGCAAATCTGGGTGATCTGAGCAAAGACGACACATGCAGTTCGTGTCTCGCGCGATCATCTTCCTTTGCAGCTGAAACTTAGATATCTAGATGCTATAGGGGTAGTCCGAAGTCGATGGCGTACGTGGAATAATCATGAAGAAAACTCAGCTCCCCATGCGTTCACCTGATCCCGACCGAACAAGATGACCTCTCCTGATATTCAAACTAGCTATCCCGAAGACATATCATCATTGTTGATCATTCTGGGTTCAGCTGCAAAGTCACGTTATGGGGCAAGGTCGCTGAAGACTTCGACGTCAAGGACCAGCCGGTGATTGCCCTCCGCCATGTGAAAGTCGGAGACTATCATGGGCGCGACCTTAACTTCCAAGGCGATTCCAGCATGACACTCAATCCAGACCTGAAAGAAGCGCACTTCCTCCGCGGATGGTGGGATGCTGTTCGCATACACCACGCACTTAGCATTCGTTGACATACCAACCAGGTACGATGCCAATGGATTAACTTATAAGTTCCAGCCCTGTCAGGGTGCATCTGGTTCAGGCGAAAGCGGATTGGTCAATCATAGTCAGTTAATGACGTTAGAGGAAGTGAAGTCCAAGAATATTGGTATAAAGACGACCAGCTACTTCACGGTTAAACTGAGAGTGAAAGCAACCCCACGCATAAAGGAGGAAAACCGTCATATGCCGATTTCCTATCCTGCATGTCGATCCGAAGACTGCGTGAAAGGTCTCTCTTACGACGATTCCGACAGAAAGTGGCATTGCGCCAAATGCAGTGGTTGTTTCGACGCACCAGAGTACCGGTTGGCATACTCTCTTCCCCATGTATGCTGATTGCGCTGAACCTGGGCATAGATACTTGATGAGGATTTCCCTAGGAGATCACATGGGATCGGCCTGGTTTAACATTTATGACAATGTGGGAAAATTACTGTTCGAGAAGAAAGCGGAAGTCCTGGAACAGATGAAAGTGTGGCTGGGAATTTCCTAAAGGAAATAGCGGGACTCGATCTGAAAACAATGATAGGCTTCTGGAGATTGGAGTAGGCTCGACCAGAGTATGTTGGTTCCATGCAGCAAGATGTACTTTTTCAAATGCAGGGCACAGGAAGAGCTGGTCAATGTGGGTGCTTCTTTCTGTTCCATCGCCAATGATGACTGACCAGGCAAAGGGTCAAATGAGAGCGAAATACACGGTATTGCATGCTATTCCCCTCAATTACAAGACGGAAATCAAGACGTTGGTCGACCATATAGCTCGCTATACGCATCACTGAACTTGACATACGCCCCACTTCTCGCAAATTCACACTGGAATAAGCCCAATCATTATAAGGCCGTTGACACCATCATAACGCATACCTGTATTCTGTATATCGCCAGTTCGGCTTGTATGAGATAGTTATGCCATTACTCATTAGGTGGATACTCCACAAAGGCAATAGTCCTTGCAGATCTACAGTACATTGGTCACACAAACAGATACCATCTATACCATCTAACGCTAAAGCTTGGACGGCTTTCCGTTCTGGATCCCATTCGTCACAACGTTGGTGTCCAGGTCGATCTGAGGCACCGGTACTGCAGCCTTGCACAGCACCAGTCCAGCCTGGAATGTAGGAACGTCATCAATGATGACCGCGCTAGGGGACAGCTTGAATTCGGCCTCTCCTTCGACAGATTTCGCCGGATGATCCTTGGCGGCTTGCTCCAGAGCAGCCATAACCTTATGAACTTCATCCTCGTGCAATTGAATGCTGGCAAGGAAGCCCTGCATGAACTCGGTCACGGCAGCAAGCGGAGGCTCAGGCGCAGAGAGAGCAAAGTACTGGTCTTCTTCGATAGGGAGTTTGTACTCCTTCAGAGTTGGGAGGAGCGCTTTCGCAGCGTCCATGGTGAATCTGGCGGGTGCCGCGCCGCTTTTGTTAGCATGACGGGAGCGCATGTGTACCGAGAGCTTCGCACGTGTGGGGGATGATTGGTGTACGTGTTCCATGAAGAAATCGATCACGTCCTGCTTAGTCAACTTGCTTGTCTCCTCTGCCTCGATGAAGCGCCGCATAAAGTCCATGTATCCATTATGGATGCTCCTATAGAACCGATTCGACTCTTCGCCGAGGTTCTTGAGCTTCTGCAAACTCCTCTCGTTCAGTCCGTCCCGGAGCTTGTCAAACTCCTCCTGGGACATATCGTCTAGATGCTTCTTAACAAAGTCGAAGAACGCCTCAACGCGGCTCTCGAGGTAGATAGGATCCCGCTCGCTCTGAATGGCGATCCGCAGGCCCAGTGTGGCAGAGAGAGGATACGGCTGGGAGAAGACGATGTACCCTAGCTGCTCCTTGGTGCGGAGCTCGGTGAAGCAAGGCTCGTGGATGATGTGCGCGAAGAGGTGTAGAAGAGCGCGCTTGCGCACGTCGCCGTACTCTCCGTCGATCTGGACGTAGTAGGCGAGGGAGCTATTGAAGTCGTCTGCAAGGGGCACATCCCTCTTGAGAACATGGTTCGATGCTGAGATCTAGGTCAATCGTAGCTTATTTGGGTGGAAAACAGACTGACGATGCGGCAACAAGTACGCCCTGTCCTTCATCTTCTCCACAGCCGTCAACGGTCTAGGGGCAAGCGTGGTCTCTATCTTCTTAGCCATCTCCAACGCCGCCTACTCCTGATGAGCGAACGTTCCACACCACACTTCCAAACGTACCTCCTCAGTAACATTACCCATGATCAACACATCCATGTTCATCCTCGACAGCAAGTCCTTTGCATGCGCTCTCACCTCCTCCAGAGTGAGCGCTTCCAGCTCCTGAAGCTTGACATCATGCGTCCAAAGCCTATCCTTCAGCACATGGGAGAGCCACCAGTCCGCCTGAGCATACGGCTGATCCCTCTCGAAATTCGCATACGACTCTCTCAGATCCTGGCGGAGGACGTCGAATCTCTCTTGTTCCATCTCCAGACCCTTGATACGATCTATCACCGTCTGCAGGAGCACGGGGAGCTTGTCGCTATACCCATCGACGTGGATCTCGAACGAATCCGCGTGTCCTCCCGCGCCGCAGTAGAGGCCTGCAAGGCCGGCAACATACGAGTACTCGTTGAGCGCGTCGCGGACGAGTTCGCCAAACATGCGGGTCTTCAGCCCCTGGCGGGGGGTGACGTTGCACACCGGTGAACGGAGGTCGAGGTTCACGCTCGCTTTGGGGACGAGGAACTGGTCGTCCTGTTTGTGCCAGACCTGGGCGGTCGGGGAAGAGTAGATCAGGCTGGGCTTCTGTGCTGGCTTTGGGACGGGAGAGGAGAGCAAGACAGCAAGGTCTTGGGGGATGAAGGCATTTTTGTCCGGCAGGTACAGATCGGGGAGGTCGTTATCCTGTTCCGTGCGGGCCCAGAACTCGTCCGAGAGCCGGTGGACACCGTATTCCGTCCCATACCATTTCTCCCTGTTGCCGAGTCGCTCTTCAGGCATGTCGGGAGAGACGAGCATGATGCTGCTCTCTCTCGGCGTGAGGGAGCCAAGCACCTCCCGTACTTGGAGCTCATCCCACTCTCTCGGGAGCGCGTGGGTTGACAGCAGCCGGTCCCGTGGATAGGGCTTGGTGATCTCCGCAGCTAGGAAGGAAGCTACTCGTTCTGCAGGCTGCTTTTCGAGGAAGTCGAAGTTGATCTTGCTGATCTGGATGAGCTCTTCTTGTATCCAAGCCGGGAAGAGCGACGCGCGCAGCAGGCTGATGTACTTGTGCACAGCGACGAGGACGTCTTCGTAGTTCTCTGCTTACGCATCAGCTTGTTGCCTCAGCACACAAAGCGGTTACTCACCGAATCCCTCCTTCGTAAGCTGCACCTGTACCTTGAAGAACATGAAACCCCTACCAGCAGCGCTCTTCCCCGCGCTGAGCCCGAGCGCCCACCCCCGCTTCTTCAAGTATGCAAAGAGGCTTCCCTGCCCCTCATGCCCGAGGAAATGGCTCACAAATTCTGCCGGCTTGACGGTGTAGTTCTTGCCTTGCCAGGGAATGCACCACGAGATGTCCAAATTGCGGAAATCCATGACCGTCTTCGCGCAGACGAGGGTGCCCATCTGGTCTGGGCCGTAGGCGGGCTCAGCGTACAGCGGGAGTCCGTCTAGTCCGCGGTTAGGGACGGGGGAGAAGAGCGCAGCGACGTGCCGCTCCATATCGTCTAAGCTGTCTTTCCCGTAGACGCAGAGGCCCATACGCTCAGCAGCATAACTCTGTTCCCACCACTTGATAAGCTTCTCCCTCGCGAGGAGGCCTTCGTCCTCTGCGGCTCCTAGGCTGAGGGCGTTCCCTGAGCCGAACTTTGTCCATACGTGACCTGGCCGAGCGAGGGACTTTGACAGCTGGAAGAGTCGCCAGGAATCGGATTGCAGGTTCTTTTTGTGCTCGCTGTCTACTGCTTGGAGCTCTTTGAGCGTGGCGGACTTGGAGAAGAGCGGGGAGTGGAAGAAAGGGGCGAAACGTTCTAGTGCGGCTGGACCGGCGTTAGTGGGTTGTTACCAGAGAGGGGGAGGGGACGAACGGAAGAGCTGGGAAGCGTTGATGTGGAAATAGTAGTTTGTGTTGCTCGTTGCGGTGAATGCGTTCGTCCCACCTCCATTGGTCTGTATAAACTCCTGGTAATCGTTTTCCTTCGGGAACTGCCTGCTCATCAGCCTACAAGCCCAAAACAGGACAAGCACGCAGCACGCACCTGCTTCGTACCCATAAAGCTCAGATGTTCACAAAAGTGCGCACAACCAGGGACGTCCCATGGGTCATCCAAGTGCCCCACACCGATATCCATCGCCGCCCCGGCCCTGTCCGTCTCCGCATCCCGGATGAGCAAGACCTGTAGTCCGTTTCCCAGTCGCAGGAGTCGGTATTCGTTCTTGTCCCTCGCGGGTGTCTCCTGCGGCAGGGGGAAGACGGAGTGGGATGTGTTGGGCAGTGGGGAGGGGACGAAGCCGTCTGCTGGGACTGGGAGGTATGATAGCCCTGAGGCGGTGGACGGGGCGTGGGTGGCGAAGGTGAACGAGTTGCTCATATTCTCCATTTTGTGTATGCGAGGACGGGTAAGGGAACGGAGTGGGAGACGTCTAATCGTCCTACAGCTGTGTGAGATGGCCGTCGTTGTGAGAGAAGAAAGCATGCCCCCTCGCCGCCGTTTTTTGTTCTGCAAGAATGTTGGTAAGAACAACAGGCAAGCAATTCGTAATTCGATGCACACGCGTCCCTTTTTTCTCGGTCTCCTCTTCGCTAGAATCCCGGCCAATCAGACAGCTCCATTCACTCGTGAGGACCGTACAGGTCAGTTGACTACGGGCAATTGCCGTTGAATACTTGTGGTCTGATCTTACTGATGTGACTGATCGGCCGTGATACGACGAATGGATGAACAAAACGCGACTCGGCAGACAACCTTGCACAAGCTTCATCGATCTGTAATGATTCGGCGGATAACTGGAACAGACTTGTGTGTCTCAACCTTACAAGTCTCGATCAACAAAACCGCTACAAAAGTGCACAAATATCATCCATCAACCAGAACGGTGTCACTCACGCCTCTGCCAACTCCTCATTCCATGCTCCCTCACCCTTCTCCTCAGGAGCACTCAGCATCTTCACTTCCTCCAGCCCCAGCGGCCGGGCCCACACTTTCACCCTGGCGATCTCACCGTCCCATCCTAACACTCTTCTGCCTCCCTCTTTCGCTCTTCCCAAAACGAGCGAGACTCGTTCTGCAGCAGATAGTTGCACGCGGTGCGAGAAGACCACCACCCCGTCTTTGTATGCCGTCAGTTTCCCGGCGTGGAAGACCAGCACGAGCACCGTCCACCCTTTGTGCCACGCTACCCTTTCCGGGGGCACGCTACTCGCAGACCCTCCTTGCCACTGACAATGCACCAGGTTCGTATGCTCCGTTCCTAGCCAGAGGAGGTTGTCCGCACGGGAGGCACTCTCGAGGGATAAGATAGCCCGAGGACCGTCCTGTTCCGTCCTTGCACAGACGGAGAAGGTCCAGTCCCCTGCTAGAAACTGGGGAGGCAGGGGAGTGACGGTGTACGAAGTGGCTTTGGTGATGCTGGACGGTGTGCCCCTGGGCTGTGTGAGCGGGCGCATACACTGAGGAGGACGAAGGGGGACGTACCAGCAGTAGAGATGATAATCTGCTTCTGGGATCGGGCCTTCGAGCGCTTGGTGGGCAGGCGCGTAGTGGGTGTCTGTACAGGCACTGGCACTGGTGCGGATACGGGCTTAGGATTCTTGACTTCCGGCACTGGCTGAGTAGCGGGCACTGGGGTTGGTACAGGTGCAGGCTCGATAGGCTTCTTGACCTCAGCTTCTCCTACCGGCTGAGACTGAGGTTCCTCCTGTTCCCAGCATAAGCCTGTCTCTTCCAGGAACACACTATACACATAGCAGCCTACCTTCCGCTCCTTCACTTTCGTGTCCCCCTCATGCGCATGCCCATTCCCGTGGGAGTGAGAATGATGATGCACATGTTTCCTCCCATGCAGGAGGTCGGACACGATATGCATCCCGTGCTTGACGAGTCCTTCATCGCCAGAGTCGCCGTCCACATGCGGGTGCTCGTCCTGTGCGTGGGGGGCCATCAGTTACTGGAGTCTTCAACGCAGGGAGGATGAAGTAGGGACAGAGACGCAGGATAAGCATGGGCTTTATACCCCGTTGCATGGGGGTAGAACAAGCCGCAAGCCGTGACGTTGTCCGACCGAATTAGAGGAAGAATGACGTGGGATCTGCCGCAGAGGATCGGCGCTAAAAGTACCGGACCTCCGTTCCACTTCCAATCGTCACCCGCTGGAACGTCGCAGCGCCGTTCCACTAATTGTGCTCTAGCGGTATTTACTCTGGGCCATCTGGGAGGGAAGGTGCGTGGCATTAGACTGTCTCGAAGTGAGTGAGAAGATCGGGATTACATAACAACCCCATCGTTGGTCCGGAATGTTCATCTCACCGAAACAATACACGATCCTGTCTAACTCTCACGCTCTCTAGTTGGACATCCTCTCAAACAAAATCACCCTATCCTCATCTCCTTCCATCTTCCTCTGCGGCGTGTACAAGGTATTCTCCATCCACTCCACCCCCTTCACCTTCCCCCCCTCCTCGACGAAGCTCGCTTCCCAAGGGCCGGAACCGACGTGCACAAAAGGGGTGCCGTCTGCTCCCCAGCCGGAGGGGTAGAGCGCTTCGGCAGTCACGTTCCAGGTGTTACCCTCCCTGTGCCTGAACCGCTGGAAATATGTCAGCTTCCTACTCCTGTTTGATAGCATCTGATAGACGTACAAGGTGAGAGCACCAGATACGTTTGAACTCCGCATATAGCTGGGGCGTCGTATGCGCCTCCTCAGGGAAAGGCGCCGAAGGCGAACCGTTCACTGCCGCAAACGCCGCGATGACCGCATCTCCCCTGTTGGACGGGGACGACCCAGGTCCGTGGAGGGTAAACGACCCGTACGCCGGGTGCTTGTACGTTCCGCAGTACTTGCTCAGCTCGAGCGGGGGAGGGGCGGCATCAGCAGCACGTGCGACCGTCTTCTCCTTTTGGGCTTTCTCTTGTTTCTGCACGACGCCGAGGTAACGCGTGCTCCAGTCCATCGGTTCCAGTTTGAGTAGGTTCTCGACAACCCGATGAACGATCGTACGCAAAGCCGCTTGGCGGGCGCCCGTGTTGCTCAGGAGGCAGAAGCCCATGTCGTCGTTTGGGAGAATAAATGTGTATGCGCTGATCCCTCCTGTCCTGTACAGAGTATAAGGTGTATATTCGCTAACCCTCTGAGGGGACGCACCCCCCGGTATGACAGAATAGCTAGTATGATGTTAGGCTCCTCCGCATAAAGAGGGAGCAAACGTACTTCATGCCCTCGCAGACTGTACCGCTGCCAACCGCCGCCGTAGATCAAGGGCGACAACTCCGGGAAGAGAGCACCATTGACCTCCATCACGTACTTGCCCTGGGTCATGTAGTTGAACAGGTCCTCCGAGACGAGAGGCAATTGGCCTGACGGGTCAATTCCTCGCGCAAGAATCGTCTTGACCCATTTCGACTGTACAAGCGAGTCAGAGGGGCCCCACATCGCGTTTCTCGGGGCGTACCATATCCTTCACATTACTCAAGATCCCCCCTGCACCAGCAAGCAGATCCACAGTTTCATTGTCTGGTATAAAATGCGGAATTGCACGCTTGATGTCCTTCTTCGGGCCGGTGAACATAAACCCCTGGATGAAGTTCTGCGTCGCCCGCGCCTTATCCACGTCAAAGGTGCTGGTATCCATTCCGAGAGGGTCAAATATGCGGGTCTTGATAAACTCGGTATAAGGCATGCCTGAGAGGTCAGCTACGACAGTCTGGGCAGCCATGTACATCTGAATACATGGTACATGGTCAACCAGAGTGAACCGGAGAAGTGGGCAGGACGCACAATGTTATTATACTGCCATTCCTCCCTCAGCCCCCTGTTGGGTTTCAAATCCTTCAACCGCTTCAAGACATCTTCTGCCTTCTCTCCGGGTACATACACCAGATCATGACTCGCGAGCCCAGTGACATGCGCGACCAGATCGATAGGAGTCGCGTTTGCACTTGCGTACGGCTCGAACAGCTTCCATTTCTCAGGGAGGAGCTTGCTCATCGGCGTAGTCCAGGAGAAGGTCTTCAGTTCGGAAGGGAGAGGGCGGAGGGAGCCGGTAGGGGAGCGACCGGTGGAGTAGTCTTGCATCAGCTGGGAGAGCGCAAAGCAGCAGAACGCCTTGGAACAGGAGGCGATACCGAAGTACGTCTGTAAGCTTGTCAGTCAGGATGCCCAGTATGACGGGGAGAGGGAGGGTACGTCTAGGTCTACTGGCCGGTTCTCATCATCCCGGTAACCGTAGGCGCCGTATTCGACCTCCCCGCCAGGGAGGACGGCGCACATCTGCATGCCGACGACTTTCCAGGTATCCATGATCTCTTTTATGAACGCCTCGACCTCTGGGGTGAGAGCTTTCTTCGGTGCAGGCGTCATGTTGTCGAACGTTAGGGAGAGGACGAGAGGGATGAAGCAGTTAGGTCAACAGACACGAACGCTGGCTACATGGGTATATGCACAGGAAGTCAACCGGAATGCGTCAAATACGATCCAGTAGCCATAACGTTATTTGGGTTCCCGATCACTTCCCATCACGTGAGTGTCGTAAACATAAGATTACAACCGCTTTACACCAAACAACCCGTAACTGTTACACTGACAGATTGAAGGCAACATGCATGCTCGAAATCAAGCTAACGTGGGATCATATTTTGCGAAAGCGGCCTTGAACGCTTCTGCCGCTTCCCGCTCCTCGTCTTGGCCCTCAGGACATCCATGCCAGTCAATCCGATCCTCCAACCCAAACAACTTCCCTAATACCATCCTGTGAGATGGTTAGTTGCATGCTGCATGCGTGATTGAAGGCCACGCACCGTGGGAACTGCAAATTAAACGGTGGCCCCGGTCTGATATTATGCACCAACACCTTCCCTCCCGGCAACTCGACCCTCAGATAGTTCCCATCCCTCTCCCTGCCAGCTTCTCCGGGTAGTTCCTCTTCCCAGTCTACGCCACCCGCTTCGCCTTCCCGCCTAAAAGCCTCCTCGAGCTTACCGTTCTCAGAGAGATGGAGGGGCGCCGCACAAACCTGCATGTGCGCGTGCCCTCCCCTCCCTGAGAGCCGGGCAATCTCCCACGAGACAGCGACACATCCGTGTTCACGGAAGACCGCGCGCAGGGCGGATTTGTATGACTCGATCTCCGCTGTGATAGGGAGGGAGATGTCTGGCGGGAGAGAGAGGAGCGTGGGGTGATGCGTGATGGGGATGATGAGTAAGTGGCCACCCCCAGGGACATGGGTTGGTAAGGTTGACTTGAGGGGAAGGAGAGATCCTTTCGGTAGGGTGAGGTACGTCTCAGAGCCAATCGAGGTGATGAGGTATTTTCTAGCACGAGGTTAGTTCGATCCAATGGTCATATAACATATAAACCGCACGCCACATTCGGATTGGATAAGCAGAACCAGCATTCGTCCGCTGTGGTCCATGAGTGCTTACGTTCTCAATGTGCAGAACTTCACTCACGGGTGATCTCCTTGCTTCCCCTCCCTCCCCTGCCCCGATCTCTTCTCCCCTTCGCTGCAATCTCACAATCCTTGAAATAATGCCCGCCACCACCACACGCCTTGCACACATACCCGTCGGGCGGCTTCGCCCCCCCAGTGTCACCTGTCTCACCCCGAGTTGGGCAGTTTCGCACGAAGTGCTCCGAGGAGCCGCAGCGGTTACAGGTGTATCCCTCGGGTGGCTTATCCGTTTCCCGGGCTTTCGCTCGTGTTTTGTCCTGCTCAATCTTTATAGGGCATGCTTGTATATAATGCTACCAAGCAATCAGAGCAACGTACTGAGGATAGAATGAGGGCACGTACATCAGGGGAATCACACAATCTGCAACGATATCCCTCGGGAGGCTTCCCGCTCCCATCCTTCTTCTCCGTCTTCTGCTTCTTCCCCTCTCCTCCCCATCGGAAGTCGACTCCAGAAGCCTCGGCAGCAGCGATCGCCTCGAATTTGCGCTTGTTCGTGCTGGCGGCGCCGTTGAGCCCTTTTACGTCTGCTGGGCTGGGTGCGGCGGGCTTAGAGGTGTCAATGGAAGGGGAGGGCAAGGAGGGTAAGTAGGGGTTGGGAATGGCGTTCGGAGGGTGTGGTTGTGCTTGGAGTGGGGCGATTGAGAAGGCGTAATAGAACTGTGTGCTGTCAGCGTGCATTCTAGACTGTAGAAAGGCGACTTGCCCTTTGCTTCTTGCCTCCCTCCCCTCTCATACTCCCTACACTGACACACCTTGTCCACTCCTTAACTGTCCCGTATTGTTCCGACCAACCGAAGGGTTCGCTCTCGCTCCAAACGCCCGAGGAACCAGAGAAGGCATATCTCGGCTTACGGTGTTTTAGGAGTAGGTCGGCCTCGTTCTCCCCTGACGTGGCCGTAGGAAGGGAAGAAAAAACCAGTGAGGGGTGTGCGTAAGTGAGAAGGATGTGTGTGCTGCTGGCTGGCTCAAGGTCTGCGACGTTCACTGGTGAGGAGCTCGAGTCGTATGATACATATACACCCTTTCCGGGGATTTCAAGCCGACCGACGCCTTCTGCTCAGCATCAGCTCAAAATTCAGAATGTATAGAAGTTCACACACGCAACATAGCCAGGTTTTTACATATCTCCCCACCGTCCCTCCCCATATTCTCCTTCACCTCCTGCGGTGGGTCAAAATTCGGACTTGCGAGGACGAAGGTCGGAACGGGTATGTCCAGCTTGCCGTCCACTAGATCTTGAACACCTTCATTATCAATTCCTGAACCAAAACTGGAAGGTGTGAAGAAGTCGCCAATGCAGAAGATAGCGTCAAACGGGCCGTGCTTGGTGTTGAAGGTCCGAAGCTTGGAGAGGTATGCTGGAATCGCACCGTGCGCTGAGCCGAGCACCAAACTGTCGTAAATAAATCAGTTTTAATGACCACTATGAATAGATATATGCTCACATTTTGGCTGCCTCTGCCATGGCACACAATACGACGCAGTCAGTGATCGATGATACTCTCAGACCAAGTGACGCATCCTGGCAGAAAAGAGCGGTGGCGTCATGATCGGTGCCCAATCACGTGACCGTCATTTGGTACGCGTTCCTTTCTGCGTTCCGTTTACCCTCCCCTTGCATCAGCGATATACCACTAGACCTGCGTTTTCTACTTCTCATCTACCATGACGGACGTTCTCCCTGACTCGGACGAAGAGCGTATGCGTGGAGACCTCGGATTCTCGGACGATGACCTCATGGATTTCGTTCCCCCCGTTCCGCACCCTCTCCCAGTCACCAATGACAGCATCTCAGAGTTCTTGACACCTTTCGCCCTTCCCTCCCTGCCCCCGCCTTTCGCCTTGGATACCAACTCAAATATATCCGATTTCACGTCTCCGAATTATGGAATGCCTGCCCAACCATCAAGAGAAGGGGATCCGACCCTGTCTAGCATCCAGCTGACTGGAGTGGAATCGACAAGTGAAGCGTCGCACAAGTCATCTGTTCCGTCGATCATCCCATCAGAACCGACGAAGAAGAAACGTCCAAAGCCACGCCGTCTTCCTCCCGTACCACGAAGCGAATCAGCACCAGCCGCGGCGAGCATCTCAACGTCGTCTGGGGCTGTTCTTCTGCGGATACCGACATTACCCCCTAGCGATCCTTCCCGATCTACAAAAGATCCGGGTTCATCTCTCTCCACCTACGACTCAATTGTTCGGCCGCCAGTTCAGTTTTTCGAGACTCAATTTCCCGATATGCTCCCGAGAAAACAAGTCGGCAAGTTTGTGGGACCCGTGGGCGAAGAGGAAGAGGAGGATCCTCTCCTTCTGCAAGCGAACCGCTCATCTTTCACGGAAAAGTGGGAACGCTCGGCTGATACAAGCGATATCTCAAAAGAAACCTCCGTGAAAAGGAAGAGGAACATGACATACACGAGCAGCCCGGAGACAAACCGTGAGTTTGGTCTTCTCCCACCAATACCTACATATATGCGCCTGACTTGTTAGCAGACGACCTTGTCGCGTACGCTCCTTCTAAAGTTGGCCGGGAAGAGGTGCAGCAAACGCGCGGAGATATCATAGTGCTATCGAGTGACCCCGCCGAAGATCAGCTCCCCGTCCCCACAGTCGCAGAACGCGTCAAGATGGGCCAGCGCAGGAACACCACGGAGACAGGCAAGGGTCGGAAGAGAAGCAAGGCTGCTCAGAGCGAATCGGACTCGGGGAGCGAGTATGAACCTGAGGGGAAGGGCAAGAGGCTACCAAAGAACGTGACCAAGAAGGGAAAAGTCTCTAACATCAGCTTGCATTCCAACGACAAAGAGCCGATACATGGCAAGCCAGGCTCTGTCCGCGTGTTCCTGAACAGTGACGACGAGAACGACGCAGAATCGGACGCATATATTCCATGTAAGCAAACCAAGCGTACACCCACAAATGTTTCGAAGAACTCGGATCGGCCTCGAAGCAATCTTGCGGAAGTCGCTATCCCCGTTATGAAGCTCCAAGGCAAGATAAGAACCAGTGGCGAAAAGACTGAGTTTGCGAAGAAGCCCCGGGCAGGCGAGGCTGGTCTCACTTCGCCTGACTTAACTCCGGAGAATAGTGGGGTTGACCATCCACCTTCACCTATTCCACCCTCCGTTCCACCCGCAAAACGTCGAAAGTCGGCACCAGCACAGAGATCGAAGTCCAAAGCAACCGAAAAGAGCAAGAAGTCCACGAGTGCGGAGTTCATCGGTTCGGACGATGAAGATGACGAGGCCGTCATCGAGAAGCCAATATCGAAGCCTGCATCGAAGCGTCGCAAATCTGAACCGGCACTGAAAGCCAAAGCATCGAATACGAAGAGCTTCAAAAGCGCAGAGGTCATCGTCTCTGACGATGATACGGTTTCTGGAGACGATAACTCCAAACCAGCACGTGTGATCATTGCACCGTCCAAGGAGGAAAAGCCACGGTCGGAAACGGAGCCGAAGAAGCCGGTTATACCGCCTAGCACACCATCCAAGGCCAAGGAGGCGCTTATTTCGAAGAGAAAGAGGGAACGAACGAAGCCGACGGCGCATCAGCAGACGAACGAGCAGGAGATCATGTCAGATTCACCCGATGAGGAACAGGAGCCATCAAATGATCTGCTGGATGACGAGCGGGGCAATGCCGATGAGGAGATGGATCAAGATGAAAAAGTCGAACAGCTGAAGCCAATCTGGAAGCCAGTGGTTGAAGCTGTAACATCGGGCAAGTCGGCAACTAAAGCGAGGTCTAAGGTATGTCCATAAGTTGTCTTTCTCATTCCCATCACTTATCTCAAGTTATCAGGAGAACCTCCCTCCTAAGACGGTGCCTGTGACCGGCTCTGTTCCGCCGACCTCCTTGCCCAGACGGGAAGGGACTCTAGCGCATACCATTCCTAACAGTAAGACACGTTCCCTCGTTCCTGGGGAAACAGCTCTGAACTCTGCGAGCAGAGGCTATTTCGCTAAAAAGACGCTCCGGTAATCGTTTCGGCCTATCTAAGTCTCAGGGTGGCAAGATCCGTCATCTCCATCAGAATCGGAAAACCCCACCTCCGCCTCCTCCCCCTGTACTGAGTAAGAAGAAGAAGAAGGTGGAAAGTGACGAAGAAGACGGGGAGGAGGAGGAGGAAGATGCGAAGAAGAAGAGAATGAGGATGTACGATGGTGGGGATTGGGAAGAGGGCATGGATGAAGAACGTGCCGTGGAGCAGTGGTGAACCGCATCGAGCATCATATGTATGTAACCAATGGCACATTATATCAACGATGACATGCACTTTCTATCAGCATCGGTGATTGCGGGAGCCAGCACACCTCCCCGGAAAGGAAATACGGCATATCATCCAATCAACACGTGGGCAACTGATGGAACTTGCGGACCGCAGCAGGCAATCTTCTATCAGACGACGACAGCAGCCCGGCCCAAACACGTGCATGACAGCGTTGCATCCCAACGCCACCTCAGCCCGATTCGAAGCAACAGGCCTACAATCGACAACGCGCAGCCGAGGTGGTTGGACCTTCTGCTCCTGCTTGTTCTTCGCGAAGCCCTTGCCTTCCCCCGCTGGCATGGCAAACAGACGAAGCCGCTTTCCGTGGACAACCAGGAAGAGCAAACCATGCCTCTCATGCAATTTAGATTACAAATCACTGGCGTCAAGTACGAATGCGCGTACGTATATCATGATGAGGGTATGGCGCCTTTATTCGGAACTGTGCTTGACTAAACCTTCACGGAATGAGAGAGCACCTGTCAAACGCAAACCCCCTAGATGAAGAATTCTCCGGTGAAGTTGTCCGCTGAAAACGAATCCAGACAAATATGGCGAGAGCGGAACCATCCCGGCGGGTTCTGATTTGGCGGAAAGAAATGGTGAGAGCATCTTCTCCCCCCTCTCACTGTATAGCTCATTTCCTATATCGTGCCCTAAAGAGCGAATACGGCATCATTCCTGTATGTACACCGCCAGCAGAGCAATAATCAGGAGGTGAAGCTGAGATCTGTACTTGCCCTATGGCTTTTTTCGACACAGTCTCAGCAAATCTACTTATAGGTTACAACCGTATGACCAGAGTGCACTTGGGTGCCTGGAACCGCTCAATGGTTGATAATCCTTCCGATCACGAGAGGAGAAGAGAAGACTGACGATGGTACCATCCAGGGACGCCTTCCCTTCCCAGCACCATTCGTTGAGCATGCGCTGCTTGCAACTTTGATGGGAGCTGCAATTTTTTTTACCGACATGTGGTACGATTGGGGAAACTTCGTCGAGACCGCCTACTGTTGATGACCCTGTGCTGTCACCACCTTCCTGAGGTCTGAGGAATGCCTGAACAAAAGAAGCACGTCTTCCGGCCCTTTTCCGCACCCACTTAACAACATGCTGCGTCTCGCTGCATATTCTTGATCAAGAAATATTATATGAACCTCTTGCTTGCCCTCCATTTTCGATGACTGAGACACCATGTATGTTCCCTTATCTTTGGGATCTCTCGTCCTGCTTGGTATCGCCTTCGCCATCCGTGCCATTGCAGCTATCCGTACTCAACCTTCCCCCCAATTGCCGCCAGGTCCGAAAGGCTTGCCGCTGATCGGAAACCTTCTGCAAGTACCGTCTCGCTTGGTGTTCCTCAAGTTTGTTGAGTGGTCAAAGGAGTATGGTAAGTAATCCATTACATTATGGCAGCGACAGCTGATCGAAGGCCTGCTTATCACAGGCCCACTGGCTTCATACACAGTCCTTGGACAGCCGGTCGTTCTGATAAGCTCTGCGAAAGCGGCAGGGGACATCCTTGATCGTTTGTCTTCAAAGACATCAGATAGGCCACGGCTGATCAAACTTGCATATTTGACCCATAGCATGGAGTTCGCCTTTGCTAATCGAGGTTCTTTGTGAGAACATTGAATACAAGTGATCTGGGATAGATCTAATGTCAAGACTCAGCTGGAGAACACAGAGGAGGGCAGCGCATGAAAGGTGGGCATCGTTGAGTTTTTTTTTTTTCATTGACCAGTCTCGTTAAGATCCATCCTCAGCCTGAATATCCGTGCTGCGCAAAAGTTCCAGCCTATACAGGAAGAAGAGAGTCGCATAATGGTCGAAGATCTCCTGCGACACCCTGACATTGATATTGCGAAGCATATTTACCGGCATTCTTCCTCAATCGCGTGGCGCGTTCTTTACGGTCATGAAGCCATCGACCTTCGAGACGATAAGGCGCAAGTTCCTTCCGAAAACTTCTTTGAGCCATTATTTTCATCCGCAATTCCTGGCGGTTCAATAGTTGACATTTTCCCCTTTCTTCAACCGCTAATCTCCCGGTCAAGGTTCCTTCGTCGGTAGGGCCATTCCTGAGTATTCTTATCAGCATGAAACTAACCAGGTCTCAGACACAGCGAAGCGTGGTATGAAAAGGCGAACACATTCTTCATCAATGCGCACACTCGTCCCCAGGTACCGGTTCATTTGAAACACATGTGCGTTACCAACGTCCTCTTCAATAGGTGGAAGGAATGCCGTCCGTGAGCAATACATTGAAAGAAATGGGAGGTAAGATTGGAATGGATAACGATAGAGATTGCGGCTGGTTGGCGGGAACTTTATAGTAAGCTCAAGAATTTTCGACAGGATGTTGGTAATACATCTTGTCTGCAGTATTGCAGCACAGGACACGGTATGTCACATTGATCTCCTTGTCGTCCTCGAGCTGATGCGTTTCTACACACTAGACTGCCACAGCTTTGAAGTGGTTTATGGTGGCCATGCTTCGATATCCGCAAACAGCCATTGCGGCCAGAGCCCAGATAACGACCATCGTGGAGCTCGCATTCCAGCATTTGAGGATCTCGAACATCTTCCTCAAGTGGAGGCGATTGTGAAGGAAATATTGCGGTGGAGGCCGCCGACGCCCACAGGAGTCGCGCACGTGGCAGAAGAAGTAGGTCTCTTCAGTCATTACGTCTAAATCACTTACCATAGTCGTCAGGATATAATATATAATAACTACCTCATACCGAAAGGCGCAGTCATTATTCCTAATACATGGTAAGCCCGCATGTCAGCAGCTTAGCTGGATCTTGATTCCTTTGTAGGTCTATCTGCCGTGATCCATCGTTATATCGCGACGGTGATGCATTCGACCCATCCCGCTTTTTGGATGAGAAAGGTTGCATAAGAAAGCCCCCTCCTGATTCACACGATGATTACCTGGTATTCGGACACGGAAGACGCATCTGCATCGGAAAGAGCCTCGCAATGAACACGCTGTTGATCGCCGTTGCACAACTTCTCTGGGCGTTCGATTTCCACGGGGTGAAAGGAGAGCAGGGAAATGAAATTGTCCCCGATCCGTCAGCGTTCTGGGACAATGGAGTTACCGTTTGGCCGAAGCCTCATCAGGTCCGATTGGTCCCTCGCTTCCCGGATCTCTTCGAACGTCTTAAATCGGCTGCCACGTAGGTATAACTAGGACTGGGTGCGTTGAGCAGACAATATATAGCGGTGTCTATGGAAAATTGAGCAATCGCGGGATCATAAAAGGCGGTAGCGGCTGCTGATGAGAAGAACACCAGGGTGGAAGGGATGAGAGCTCCAATGGTACAACCTGTCTGGATGTCGGAGCACAGGGGCGGAAGTGAGATATTGATTGTAGGTCTTTTTGGATCGGCTTGGAGGATTTTCAGGCACCTCTGGGGGGCGAGTAAGACATGATCGGCGCATCGAATCCCAAAATCCGACCGAAGGGTTCGCTGCATTTCCCAGCAGCAGCTCTCGCTCAGAGACGGAAGCCGCCAAATGCGGTTAGGGTCTTGCCATGAAACCGTTCGATAACGCGTCCATATATAGGAAAATGACTCTCTCACCTCATTATTCGGTCTGTCTCACTTCTATGCATATGCTCTCTGTCAATCCTAACCTCCTAACTTGACAAAAGATGGGCCGTTTCTCATCCATGTGCCGGTAACCGGAGATCCTGGCCATACAGAAACTCTACCATGATAACCGAAGATGGATGCCAAACATGGTCTAACCTGTTCAGGAGAAGCGAACAAAGCACCGACCATTCGTGAAGAGACCAGACCTTTGATAGCAATTAGTCGTACTGTCTCTCCTGGTTCAACAACTATATGAACACATATCATCCCGCTTGAGTACTCTCTACTAAAGGAGCCAACATGTGTTTTGTCTCCCTGTCGCCAGCCTGTCTTGTCCTCCTCTGTCTTTCCTTCATCATTTGTGCCTATCGTACTCTCCGCACTCAACCGTCGGCCCCTCTCCCACCCGGTCCACAAGGCTTGCCGCTGATTGGGAACCTGCTGCAAGTACCGACTCGCCTGGCGTTCCTCAAGTTTGCTGAATGGTCAAAGGTATACGGTAAGCAATAACTCACCTCCTAGAAATCCAGTGACTCATCGAAGGATTGCTCGTCACAGGACCGCTGACTTCATATACCACCCTCGGTCAGCGGGTCGTTGTCATAAGTTCTGCGAAGGCCGCCGGAGACATTCTTGATCGGTTATCTGCGAAGACATCAGATCGGCCTTGTTTTATCAAGACAGAGCATTTGACTCACAACATGGACTTTGCGACTGTGAATCAAGGTGCTTTGTAAGAGCTTTTTCCATGGGTTCTGATTGAAGTGGCAAAGCTGACGTGATAATACAGTTGGAGAACACAGAGAAGAGCTGCACATGAGAGGTATGGCTTCCTTGCGTGATCCGGCTGTCTTCGAGACTGATTGACATACGCAGCCTAAATGTCCATGCTGCGAAGAGCTTCTTTCCAGTGCAAGAGGAGGAGAGCTGTATGTTAGTTGAAGGCCTCGTGCGACATCCTGAGATTGATATCGCAAGACATCTTTATCGCTATGTCTCTTCGATTGCATGGCGTGTTATATATGGCCACAGTACGATAAAGCTGGAAGTTGATGAACCGGGTGTACCTCCCGATAGCTTCTTTCGTGCCTTTTTTCAAGCGACCATTCCGGGAGGATCAATTGTCGATATCTTTCCATTCCTTCATCCCGTTATCTCGAGGTCCAAATTTCTTCGTCGGTGAGTTCTCCCCATTCCAAAGCGTCACCTCTGGACATCTGGCTTATATGTATCCAGGCAGAGCGATGAATGGTACGCTCGCGCCCGTACCTTCTTCATCAATGCACATACTGCTCCGCAGGTGTGTCGTTTTTCTACGGCGAACTGGTCCATTTATCGCATATTCATCGCATGATCCCATTAGGTGGAGGGGGTGCCGTCCATCAGCGCGAAGCTCAAGGAAACGGGTGAGAAGATTGGCCTGAGCAGTGATGAAGACTGTGGCTGGCTTGGAGGAACACTATAGTGAGATATCCACAATCGTGGTTAGGATTTTTTCTTGACACTCTATTTGAACAGTATCGCCGCACAAGACACCGTAACTGATCCAATTTTCCGTCGTCCCCCTGCTGATCCTCTTGATGGAACAGACTGCGACGGCTCTGAAATGGTTTTTCATAGCGATGCTCTTACATCCCCAAGCCGCTGTGACGGCTCGAAGTCAACTAGATCTAGTTGTCGGGAAGCGATTTCCCACCTTTGGAGACATCGAGCATCTTTCGTACGTACAAGCAATTGTCAAGGAAACCCTCAGATGGAGGCCACCGGGACCGGCGGGTCTTGCACACGTGGCCACCGAAGTGAGTGACCAAACCCCTATCAGCGCACGCTGAACCTTCCCCAAGGATATCGTGTACGACAAATTCCTGATACCAAAAGGCACGATTCTCATTCCTAACGTATGGTGAGCCATCCCACAGGTGATATCATTTACTGTACTAACGAGCGCGGTTGAGGTCCATCTGCCGGGATCCAGCGTTGTATCAGGACGGCGATACTTTCGATCCGTCCCGATTCCTCGACGACCGGGGGAACCTCAAGCCCTCACCTGCGGATTCCCACGACGACTACCTGGTGTTCGGACATGGGAGACGTGTCTGCGTCGGTAAGAACCTTGCGGTCAACATGTTACTGATTGCTGTTGCCCAACTGCTTTGGGCGTTCGATTTTCACGGAGTGGAGGACGAGGAGGGAAAAGAGCCCTTGCCCAATTCGATGGCTTTCTGGGACAGCGGATTGACTGTTTGGCCCGAATCATTTAAGATTAAAGTGGTGCCTCGTTTTCCTGACCTTGCCGAGATTCTCAGTGTACCTGATGAGGAGACGTAGTTGACGAAGGGATTGATGAATTACTACATATCGTCACCCCTTCCTTCACAGACCAGCATAAAATGTCGCAGTCGAAGATTAACCGTTTATAAACCAAAGCGCTAACGAAAGTCAGACCTGCAATATTAATATGAAGAGCGGAAACAAACTGGCACTGGACAGGACCTGCACCTATGTGCTTCATCTCGTAATTCCAATGACTCGGGGGTATTATTTCAGAATGAGGAGGCATTATTCACGCCTCGGGGGTATTAATCGGGTCCGTGATTGTTTAGCTTCTAACCGAGTTAATTCCTCTGATGACCCCAATTCGGAAGTAAAGTCACCAGAATGGCCCTCCGGGCTCAATTGCCCTCATTGACCCCTCCGGCGTGGTGTTACCAATCCATTCACACTTCCTGAATGAAAAAAAGTCATCGAGAAAAACATTTAAGTTAGGGGTCCCCTCTAAAAAGACAATGAAATACACCCAAAAGAGCAAAATAGCAACCAAATTAAAAATAGCAATTACAGTAAGAAAGAAAGCTGACAGCACACATTAAAGAAAACATTTTTTTTCTCTTTTTTTCCTTAACAGTCTGTCAATTTTTTCTTGAAATAATACTTACAGATGGCATGCATGCCCGAAAGGGCTTAAGGTGCCCTTACACCCTCAATATGTACATGGAACAAATGTATTACTAACTAGTAGTAATACATGCATGTAGCAAAAGGGATAGAGAGAAGGGTGGCCTACAGCCACCCACTAGGTGTCATTCCATTGGATGATCATGATTGCCTCTGTGAGGTGATCCTACCTAGAAAGGAAAGGATGGGGTCATATACAGACCCTTACACCTGCCCCTGTCAAAGAGGAAGGGGTATACATACTAACAGGCATGGTCATAACCATTGCCATCACCATAGTCAAGGAGGGTATCATCCTCAATGGCTGTGTCCACATGAGAGGGACAAGCAGCAGGAATGGTATGGTCATCAGACCATTTCAAGCCTTTGGGTTCAAGACCCAACAGTGGGAGGCCCTCTGCAGGAGGGGGAACTATGGCAGACTGGAAGACTTCCATCCATAGGGATTGGCCACATTGGTCTACAAGACTGAGAGCATGGACACCATTCTTGTTGAGAATGTTGTTGCAGTATATGCAACTGAGTTCCACCTTCCTTTGTCTACAACCAAAGTAACCAACCAGGGCATCGGTTTTCAATTCATCAAGCCCACTGGCAATGAACTCTTTGGCAACCCCAATGGGGCTCCAAACATGTATGCTGTCCACATTGAGGGAGACAGCTTTGTGAAAGCAAGTGGTCATAGACCAATGGGAAATGGCAGATTGACTGAACTGATGCTCATTGATGAACTTTTGAATTTGAACTTGGTTTGAAAGAGATTCATTGCAATCTCATAAAAGGCAGCAGCATTGCCCTTTTGCCAGCCTCTAATGTCTGCATGAGGACAGTTATCATGGAGCCAAGTCCACATGTTAAGGTCAGGTATGTAATATCTCCCATCCACAGAGCACCTAATGCTAGGCCCCTTGTTGAGGTGAGGATTCACCTCTTTGCCCTCCTGCTCCACCATCTTCACAAACCAGGACCAGAGGTTACCCATTTGTGGAGTGTGAGCCCAGTGGGCATCAGCAGTCTCCATTAAGACCTGCCAGCAGGGAAGATCTGTGTTTCAGATCATGGTCAACTGCTTGGCCATGACAATTCCCTGCCAGGGATTCATTGTGTTTGCTTGTGGGATGGGATGACCCATCTGAGCCACACGAGTAGCTGCATGCTGTGCAGCCACAACTTCCAAGACTCCCATAGGGGGGAATCACCAGTGCAACACAGTGACAGCAGAAGGACTGTTAGTGTCAAGCTGAGTCAATGCAGAATGAGCAGGAGCTCCAGAGGAGCCAGATGTTGCTGCAGGGGTTGTCCAGGCAAGAGTGAGAGGCAGTCCAGCAGTGCTGGACACAACCAAGCTGTAAGACTTGCTTGGGGTGGGGGCACCAGAAGATCCATTACCATCAATATAGACAGTACTTTGCATGGAGGTGCAGAGGTGGGCTTGTCCACAGCAGGACACTTGCCAAGGGTGATGGCAGAGGGTTGGGGAGGAGCCAGTGCAGGCTCCTCAACAATGGGGTCATCCATAGGGATGTCATAGTTGTCAGGTGTTGATCCAACCCAAGAGGTGTCCAAAATATTGGTCTGATGGGTGGTGTGCAAGAACTCGCTTGGAAGAGGGGGGGGGGAGAGATGGGGAAAGTGGGTATAAATGTGGGAGTCAGCCTGTAGCTGAGCTATTGAAAGTTGGTACACAATAATCAGAGCTTGGTGTCCATCTAGTCAAGTCACAATAAGTCAAGTTGAATCCGCTAAGTCAAGTCAAATCTGCCTATCCAGCAAGGGGATAATCAGATCCATATAAGTCTGTTGGAAAAGGGGCAGAATAAGCTAGATACAGGAGTTTCTGGAAACTACTTATACTAGCTACCATAAACCATACTCTATACTAATCCGATCTCTGGATACCTCTCTAACACAAGTGTTGGCATGCCAAATATTTGGATGGGTTGATCCTGTTGCAGAGGAACCCTGCTGTTGTCATGCCAAATATCCGTAGTGGGTCAAGGCTTGTTGCTGGGGTGCATTGTCTGTGTAGTAAGGGTCTGTAGTGCTGTGCAACAGTCTCTAAGGCCCAAAAATAACTGTGGGAATATTGGCCTGACATGCCCCACCAGAGGTGGGGTTGTTCAGCATCTCATGGGAGGATGCTGGCCACAGTTGCAAAGATGGGCTTGCAGCCCCTGTGGTAGGAGGTGCCTGAGAAGGATCTTTGTGATCTGAGGTTGAATGAAGACAACCACAAATGTAGTTGTATTGGGAGCACCAGTTGTCACAGTCCTGACAGAAATGCTTGGCATCCAATCTGGCCTGCAATGCCAATTGCTGGGCATCAGAGATCATCTTTGTGGCAGTCAAGCAGAGCTGCCTGGTGTCATCCAGAGTGGACAACAATCTTGCATTCTCCTTGAGGGAACACACAAGGTCTTCTTTGCTCTTACAAAGAGCACATTCAAGTTCTTCAACTTGATCGAGATGTTTGTGACAGAGGTGGAACAACTCATTGGAGTGGTCTCCCCAGTCCAGTGTGAGATGCTCACAAGTCTCTTCTGCATTCCAGCAACACATGCAATTGAAAGGCAGTTTGTCAGTGAGCTGCTTGGCAGTATGAAGAGCCAACCTTAAGTTGGTGTGAGGGTTTCCTGCAAGGAGAGCAAAGGGCTTGGAGGCATGGGTGCAAGTGTCACAGTAGAAGAGATCAGTAGATCCCTGGGCATACTTGGGCATTTGGGGCCTTGGGAAGCCTTGTGCATCATGTCCGTAAGATGTGCCACAATCCTCCTTTGGGTGGAGGGGTACCCCATCTGGGACAAGGTAAGGATCTTTGTTGTCATTGACAAACTCTTCTTCATCCTCATCCCTTGGGACAAGGGCTAACTCCGGTAGGTCAGTGGGGTTGCCCCAGCCAACAGAGGAGTCCTCTCTGGACAAAGTACCCCAGCCAATGAGCAGGGTGCCAGAAGGTTTGCCCCATCTGGTGTTTGAGGATGGGGGTTTGTTCAACAGAACAACAGCAGTAAGATCTGTGCTGTTCAAGGGAATGGCACCTCTAGGTGTGGGGTTGTCCAAGAGAACAACCAGGGCAGTTGGGTGTCATCCATTGGGATAACTACAGGAGGGGGCACTGAAGCACTAGATGGATTATTGTCCATATGGATGACGCTGGAGGAAGGTGCAAGAGCACCTCCCTGGATGGACTTGGTGGTCTGCAATGAGAGTGTAGGCATGGGATCTACGCCAGCCAGTATCACTGCCATAGGGAGCAAAGGAGGGATGGGGGCTGCCAGGGAGACAGCCATGGGTGAGATGGTCCTCAGAGACAGTGGGGGAAGCAAGACAATGTCTTCACAGACTTCCACCTCAGCCAAGGCAGTTGCACAAGACAGTGCAGGGGCAGGCGAAACACCAGACATGTGCTTGAAGAGCATGATGGAGGGCAAGAAGGCAAGATCAAACATGATATACTGTTCATGGGAGGGGGGAAGGTGGTGGTAAGAAGAGAAGAGAGGTGGTCTCTTCTTTGGCCTTTGTGTTGGCCAAAAAATTGCAGAATTGCTTCTGCTTATGGTCTGCCACTGCAGTTGCAGGGATAGAAGGCCAAAGGCCTTCCATTGTTAGTCATGTGGGCTAACAATGACATTATCCCTGAGGATTCCTTTTTGGGAGATCCTCTGGAGTCTTCACACCCTGAAGCTCCAAATACTCATCCAATTGGGTGAGTCAGTCTGCCTTACTGGCAGACTCCCACAATTGGTCCCAGTCAGACCAAATAAAGTGGAATTGCAACTTTCATTGCCTCCAACAATGATCATTGATCAACTTGATGATCTGTTTGCCATCCAGTGCATTACCCTAAATGGTATCCAGATCTCTTCCTGGGAAGAGTATGTTGTCACCATGGACATAAGGCCTTAGTAGGCTTGTATAAAACATCAGGTGTATCCCATGTTTCTTCATGCTCTCTGAGAGAGCTAACAGACAATTGTCTGTATCCATGACCTTTTCAATACAGAAAGGTACAATATACCTTGGCAGTAGTTTTACTGCCCAGTTCTTTGGAACCACTGAACAACCCCACCTCCAGTGGGGTGTGTCAAGCCAGTATTCCCACAGTTATTTTCAGGCCTTAGAGACCATTGCACAGCACTATGGATTGTTGTGATGCAGGACAACACACCCCAGTGACAAGTCTCAACCCCCCTGGATATTTGGCATGGCAACTACTATGATTTCCCAGGCAACAGGACCCCTCAGATATTTGGCATGATGACTGCAGGTTTCCCCTGCAACAGGATTGGCCCATCCGGATATTTGGCATGCCAACATCTGCCTTGGAGAGGTATCTGGAGACTGGTTTAGTATAGAGTGCAGTTTAGATTAGCTAGTATAAGTAGTTTCCAGAAACTCCTGTATCTAGCTTATTCTGCCCCTTATCTGTTAGCATTATATGGATCCAATTATTGGTATACTGGCAGACTTGACTTGACTTAGTGGATTTTGACCTGACTTATTGTGACTGGACTGGATGGACACTGAGCTCCAATTATTGTGTACCAACTTTTGATAGTTCAGCTACAGGCTGACTCCAGCATTCCTACTGACTTTCCCCATATCTCCCCTCTTTCCCTAGCAAGTTCTTGCACACCACCCATTGGACTGATATTTTGGACACCTTTTGGGTTGGATCACATTGGAGCCCAACACAAGGCAGCTTTTCACAAATAAGAGCTGCTGAGGCGAGAACCTCTCCTCCTCTGATTTCTGATACTGGCTTCCTGTACTCTGGTACCCACCTCTCCTATAAACCAAGAAAATGAGCTTAGGGATGAATGGCAAGCCCAATGTACCATGCTCTGAGAAACACCCACAATCTTGGATGACACAGAGGTATCATTGACCCCTTCCACCAGGATTACCTCTGATATAGTGGACACAGTCTGATGACTCCTCATGGTGAGTAAACAAACAATGCATATGGGCAGGGTGTCTCCTTCACCCCCCTGCTTTTCCCCCACACCCTTCAGTGTCACCCATCATTTTGTGGCCCTGGAAAAACTATTTGGCTTGTGTGAACCTGTTGTCACTGGTGGAGGAGACAAGATTGACTGGGCCTGCTTTTACACTGACGATGACACCTACAAATTATGGGCACAGATCCACAATGGGATGGACAATGCAAATAAGAACTTGTATGAGGATTTCAAGACCAAAATACTGAAGTACTATCCTGGTGCAGTGAATAACAAACACTGGTATGCAACTTGGGACCTTGACAACCTTGTTCACAAATGGCAATGTTGCATTAAGACCAAGGGTGAATTCACTGAATTCTACCAGGACTTCTACTCCATTTCCACATGGCTCATCAAGCACAACTGGATTTCTGTCCTCAACCAGCAAAAGGCCCTCCTCTGTGTACTCAAATTCCTGCCCACTGAAAGCTGCATTTGGGACAAGATGCTGAACAGGCTTGAACAGAAATACAACAGGGCTGTGGACAAACCATGGACAATGGCTGAATTAAAGGAGACAGTGGAATGGGCACTGGGCAATACTATGACAAAGGTTTGAACATCGACCCCCAATTATTCCCAGGATGCAATGCCAGCACTGACATTGGAAGATGTCAAAATGGAGAGCAACCCACAGGTTGCTGATATTACCAGATGCATGGCTAACCTGGAAGGAATGGTTTCCCATATCTACATGCTCATGAACCAG